AGAGAGAGAGAGAGAGAGAGAGAGAGAGAGAGAGAGAGAGAGAGAGATCAGAGTCTAGAAAGTGCCCCTGAGGGATCTGATACTTTTACAAATTGTTTGAGAATTTTGTACTTGCAGACTGTGTGTTTTCATGTGTGCATACTATGTGTTTTGATCAAATCTATCCCCATATCCACCACTTCAACCCCCCTGCCCCAACTTTCCTCTTTTAATTTCTTGTGCTGTTTTCTAAAACCTACTGAATCAACCAGGTATAGTGGTGCATGCCTTCAATTCCTAGCTCTCAGGAGGACAGAGGTAGGAGATCTGTTGGAGTTTGAGGCCAGCCTGTTCTATATAATAGTTTCAGGCCAGCCAGGGCTACTTAGTGAGACCTTGTCTCACCCCCTGCCCCAGGACCCCCCAAAAGCCCCACTAAGTCCACTTAGTGCTGTCTGTAAGTACATGGGTATAGAGCCGTTCACAGGAGCATAGCAAACCTCTGAGGAGACCCAGTGTGCACCACCCAGGCAGCCATCAGTTGCTAACAGTGCCATAGTTAGCCACAGTTAGATTTTGTTTGGTTTCATGTTGTGCAGCTCTTGAGCCTCTGTGCCTTCATGGGCACAGGTCCTGTCATGTCCAGGGGTCACTGTTCCATTCTGGTGCTTCTGGCCTTTAACTCTAACAGTCTTTCCACCTGACTACTTCCAAGATGATGCGTCAGCCTCCTGTGGAGGGGATCTATGTGTCCCATCTCAGGCTGAGTGGTTCTCAGCCTCTCACTCCTCACACTTGGGATCAGTTGTGAGTCTCTGTACTCATTGTGAAGCCTAGTGTTTGCTCCTGTTTGCCCCTACTTGGCTTCAGGCTTCCATGTCACCCACCTGAGGATACAGAGGCAACTCCATGCACCAGCTCGCAGGTGGCAGAAGCCAAATCTGCGGTTGCCCACCAGGTCAGTGAGGGCAAAGGTGAAGTGCTGGACAGCAGGGCTGGGAGGCTCCCTGGAGGGGAAAAGGCTCTGGTGGAGACTGGACATCTATTTTCTGACTTCCTTGCTCCCTGACCCTCCTATCACACCCCTAAGGTGGCCTGTGAATGCAGTTGTTTTTTTGGTGGCTTGGTATGCGAGCTTAGTATTTTGTGGGTTCTTGGGAGTCAGGAGCCCTGAGTCCTGGAGTCATAGCTTCACCAGTAAGGTGTGTGCCTTGCAAGACTGATGACTGGAGTTCCATTCCACAGACCCATCTTTGAAAAGAAAGAAAATCTGGAGGCCAGGGAAGGTGGCTCATCAGGAAAATGTGCTTGCCATGTAAGCCCATGTGAGCACAGTGTGACTTCAATCTTTGGAGACCCATAAGGTAGAAGAAGAGAACCACTACCACAAAGTTATCCTTTGACCCTTGACTCAGATCCTGTGGCACAGATACACCTCTCCCCCCAACCCCCATACCACACACACAAGTAACAAATGCAATAGAAGAAAATTAAACCTGGCCTCAGACCCAGGGTGGTAAAATCTTCAAAGCCCTGGGGCTGGATGGCCAGTAAAGCCACCTTGGAGACCTCCAAGCCAGTAAGAGACCCTGTCTGCCTCAGAAACAAAAAACCAAAAAAACCACCACCACTACCACCACCACCACCACCACCACCACCACCACCACCAACAACAACAACAACAACAACAACAAAACCAAGGTGAGTGTGTGTATAGGGACCGGGGAGATGGATCAGTGGTTAGAGGACTAGCTGCTCTCACAGGGGACCCAAGTTTGGTTCCTAGCATCAACACCATGCCTCACAACGCTTGTAACTCCAAGTTTGGGGGGATCTGATACTTTCTTTTGACCTCCCTAGGCACCAGGTATGTAGGTGGTGTGCACAGACATATGTACAGACAAAACATCCATATATGAGAAAGAAATCTAAAACAAAACCAAACTGAATCAATGTAGGGCTGGTAAGATGGCTCACACAACAAAAGAAAAAGGTGGATGGTTTCTGGAAAATGACACTTGAGGTCTGCCTCTGGCCTACACATTCAGCTGCTCTGCCATGAATACACATACTCACACTCAGGAACTCTGAGTCCCCTCTGAGGGACTACCTAGCTTCCTTTGTCATTCAGTTCTTGGGTCTTTGGGTCCCTGTGCCCTGTGCCTATAATTCTTTAGTCATTAAGGTCCTGCTTCAAGTCCCAAAGAGCGTGTGTGTCCCCACCTCTCTGTCCCCTCCATACCTTTCTATGTCAAAGGGGAAACAGAACCTGGGTACCATCTGCATGGCTTCCTAGAGAGGGAAGAAGCATTAGTACACTAGTCCTCTTGGCTTTGCCCCTCAATTCAGGGTTCAAGGCCCACAGCCCCTCCCTCTGCTGGACCAGCCCCGGGATGCCTTCTGAATATCTACCTGTTCCTGGAAGTCTGGAGGGAACTGCCACAGGATGGGGGGATCTGCAGGGAGGACCAGCTGCTGAGATTGTGGCCTCACACCCTCCCTCCCATCTCTCCAGCCCCAGATTTCCCAACTTACCCTCCTCCAGGGAGTTGGGGCGGCCAGCTTCAAAGAACCAGTCAAACACAGCAGGGGGATGCCTTCTGTGAACCATGAGGGGGCTTTAGCTTGTATGTGTGAATGTGTGTGTGTTCTGAGTCTGCATCTGTGTGCTTCTGTTTGTGTATTCCCTATTCTGTGTTTCCTATGTGTGTAACTAGGTGTGTTGGTGTGGGCACCCTGGGGGGTGGAGTCAGGTGTAAATACTGCTGAAGTATGAAGAGAAGGAAAAAGAGAGAAAACCAGCGTGGTGGCCATACCCTTAACCCTCAGGCAAAGGCAGGTAGATCTCTGTGAGTTCAAGGCTTGCCTGGTCTACATATGAGTTCCAGGTTAGTCAGGACTACATACTGAGACCCTGTTTCCAAAGAGAGGGCTAGAGACAGAGAGAGGAGAGAGGAGGCAGGGGGAGACAGAGAGAGACAGAGAGATGGAGAGACAGAGACACAGAGAGAGACAGAAAGATAGGGAGGGAGGGAGGAGAGAGAGAGAGAAAGAGAGAGAGAAAGAGAGAGAGAAAGAGAGAGAGAGAGAGAGAGAGAGAGAGAGAGAGAGAGAGAGAGAGAGAAAGGGTAGAAGAGTTAGAGATGGGGGCATGCCTGTGATAGTGTGTCTGCCTATAACAAACACTTGTATAAAAAGAACATACTTATGATTCTTTCTGGTGCCTGTCCCTTGAATCTGTGGGGTAGAACTGCAGAATCTCAAGTGTGTATTGTGTGAGTACTATCTCTTCTCTCCCTGTGTCTTGAGCATATTTAAGGCTTGTCCTTTTTTCTCTGAAAGAATTTTTTTTTTTTTTTTTTTGTGGTTTTTCGAGACAGGGTTTCTCTGTGTAGCCCTGGCTGTCCTGGAACTCACTCTGTAGACCAGGCTGGCCTCGAACTCAGACATCCGCCTGCCTCTGCCTCCCAAGTGCTGGGATTAAAGGCGTGCGCCACCACCGCCTGGCGTTCTCTGAAAGATTTTGTGGGGTCCACACTTAACAGAGAAAGAAGAGCAAGGTGTCCTGGCACTGAACTGCAAGCCCCACAGCCTGCCCTTCCCTGCTGTCGACTGCATCTAGCAGAAGATGCTGAGGCCTTAGCTTTCAGAAATCAAGGGAGGTGATTGACTTGCCGATACCTTATCCCACCCGGTTACACACTTACATGGGCACCTCCAGCATCTCGTTGTATGGACACAAGGCAGCCATGAGTCCCCGACTAAGGTTGACAGTTTCTCAGCATACCCTCTCACACCTGACCGCTGACTAGCTATCCCTTCCTGGAAACTACCTTCCTAAAACCCCCACCCTTACTGGGGCGTCACACTCCTAAAATCCCTGGTTTCATTACACAGATCCAGAGCCAGGAAAGTGGAAGAGGGACTATGCATGGCCTGATCAGGTCCCTGAGTGACCACCGTGGTCAGTGGGTGGCTGTGCTTCCTGGGCCCTCCCTTGCGGTAGCCCCAGATACCATGTTTTTGGTTTTTTGTCCTTCTCCAACCCCACCCGGGCTCAGGTCTGGCAATCTTGCTGCATAGGATGGAGGGAAGACAGTTCTTACGTCTCTGTGGATCCCATGGTCTCTGCAGGGCTGGCCCAGCTGGGCCCTTTCCCCTAGGGCTCCTGGGGCTGGGGGAGCCTGTGTTTTCTTGGGGCTGGGCCTCTGATCTGCTCAGTTTCCTGTGTGGCTGAGAGAGGAAGTTTAACAGAGTGACGTCCTAGATGAAGGAGGCCCCCGCCCCCACCCTGTTGTGAGGAACTCATCTAGCTTCATAGCCTAGATGAGGACAAGATCTGTGGGAAGCAGGGCCAGGTTGGGAGGTCCAGCTTCACCCTTATGGTCCCCATGGCCTCACCTAGACCCTTTCTTTCTGAGTCCTCTGAGTATTGAAAGTCTGTGAAGATCACTGCCATCATTTCCCTGTGTTGTTTCTCTGTTTCATTTATAGGGGGCAGCTGCACTGAAGGGCAAAAGAGGCTGACAGAAGTTGACATCTGGAGTCACACAGGAATTCTGATGGAAATGCAAGAGAGGCTCTGAACCCAGGTAAGGTGTGCATGCACATGGGCACACACAGGTGTGCACAGACACACACACCTCTCACTGAGATTGGTGAGTGAAGACAGGCAGACAGGCCTGGGTATTACCAAATTTAGAGTGCCATCTGTATTCCAAGAAGTTAACTTCAGGGCACTGGAGACACGGTTCAGTAGTTAAATGCGTGTACTGCTATTGCAGTGTGGTGGCTTAAATGTGCTTGGCCCAGGGGATGGCACTCTCAGGAAGTGTGCTCTTTTTGGAGTAGATGTGGCCTTGTTAGACTCCTTCAGCTTGTCACTGAAGGGGTGGGCTTTGAGACCCTTCTCCTAGCTGCCTGAAAGAAGACAGTCTTCTTGCTGGGCAGTGGTGGCGCACGCCTTTAATCCCAGCACTTGGGAGGCAGAGGCAGGTGGATTTCTGAGTTCAAGGCCAGCCTGGTCTACAGAGTGAGTTCCAGACTGCCAGGGCTATACAGAGAAATCCTGTCTCGAAAAACAAAACAAAACAACAACAAAAAAAAAAAAGACGACAATCTTCTCTTGACTGTCTTTGGATCAAGATGTAGAACTCTTGGCTCTTTTTCCAGCACCATGCCTGACTGGATGCTGCCATGCTTCCGGCTTAATGGAATATGGCTTAATGGATAATGGACTGAACCTCTGAACCTGTAAGTCAGCCCCAATTAAATGTTGTCCTAAGAGTTGCCTTGGTCATGGTGTCTGTTCACGCCAGTGGAAACCCTGACTAAGACACACAGAATGGAAATGATGAACAGCACGAGTGGTTCACAACTTCAGCTCCAGTGGATCTGACGCCTCTGGATTCCAGATACCCATTCACACAATTAAAAATAAAATCAATATAATATTGAAAAACAATTTTAAAAAAAGTCTTAAGTTTGGGTCCCCATCCTTGTGAAGCCAATCAACCACACCTTTGATCATAGCTCTCAGGAGGCAGAGGCAGGCAGAGTTTTGTGAGTTCGGGGCCACCCTGGGCTACACAGTGAGTTCCAGGACAACCTGGAACTCTCTACATAGGGAAATCCTGTTTCAAAAACACCAAAACCCAAACCAAATAAAATGCAGAAGAAGATGCATTCAGTGTGGCCACACTGGAAAGAGGGACCAAAAAAAAAAAAAAAAATCCAGTGACCTTAAGGCCTGTCTGACCAAGATGGGCTATGTTGAATAAATCTTACTTGATTTGTTAGAGTACAGACTGTGGTCACAGTATGCATGTTCCTGGTGTGCAAGTGGCTTATCTTACACCACAGAGAAGCTCTGGTCTAGCCTGGTCTCTTTGGCTCTGCAATCCCTGTACCCCACCACTCCCGGAGGTGATCTTCAGTGGCACTCTTCCACCCTGTGGGCCTCTCCACTCCCTGGCTATACTCAGGGAAGAAACTGAATCAACAGAAAGCCACATCAAAGCAATGACTCATTTATTGATGGAGGGTCAGCAGGGGAGAGCTGGATGGGGTGCACAGTAGGGAGGGGCTCCCTCACCTCAGGCAACAGGCCTCTCTTTTCTCTTCCTTCAGCACTTCTCTGGTAGGAACTGAACTAAGGCACAAGGGTCAGGAGTGGGGAGCTGTGAGGTCAGAGGTAAGGGAAGGTGAGAGGCTCCGAGGCTGGGGAAGACGTCAAGTCAGGATCTAGAGAACTATCTGGGCATGTCAGAGGTGAAGAATGGTTCAGGAGTGCTGGGGAAGGGACCCCCGCTTAAAAGAAAGGATTTTCAAGATCTAAGGAGTGTGTGTGGTGTGTGTGTGTGGTAAGGGGTGCTCATGGGAACTAGAAGAGCCCTTCCCTGGCAGGTTGGAGAGACAGTGGGGTTTAGGAGTTAAAGGTGAAGCAAATAGAAGCAACCTGGGCTCTGGGCTTGGCCCTCATGGTGAAGAATGCTCGTGGGATCCGAGGGAATGAGGCAGCTGGATGCAGAGGTCGGGTGCTCAGGGTCAAGCTTTGCTGTTGTGCCCTAAGGGCAGAGTGATGTCAGGAGACTTAAGCCACCTCCTCTTCAGCCTCCTCTTCGAACTCGCCTTCTTCCGCCGTGGCATCCTGGTACTGCTGGTACTCGGATACCAGGTCGTTCATATTGCTCTCTGCTTCTGTAAACTCCATCTCGTCCATGCCTTCGCCTGTGTACCAGTGCAGGAAGGCCTTGCGCCTGAACATGGCGGTGAACTGCTCTGAGATGCGCTTGAACAGCTCCTGGATGGCTGTGCTGTTGCCGATGAAGGTGGCTGCCATCTTCAGGCCCCGGGGTGGGATGTCACACACTGCTGTCTTGACGTTGTTGGGGATCCACTCAACGAAGTAGCTGCTGTTCTTGCTCTGCACACTTAGCATCTGCTCGTCCACCTCCTTCATGGACATCCGTCCCCGGAAGACAGCAGCCACGGTCAGGTAGCGACCGTGTCTCGGGTCACACGCGGCCATCATGTTTTTAGCATCGAACATCTGTTGGGTCAGCTCAGGAACGGTGAGGGCCCGGTACTGCTGGCTGCCCCTGCTGGTCAAGGGTGCAAATCCTGGCATGAAGAAGTGGAGACGGGGGAACGGCACCATGTTCACAGCTAGCTTGCGTAGATCTGCGTTGAGCTGGCCCGGGAAACGCAGACAGGTGGTCACTCCACTCATGGTGGCCGACACCAGGTGGTTGAGGTCCCCGTAGGTGGGCGTGGTCAGCTTGAGCGTGCGGAAGCAGATGTCATACAAGGCCTCGTTGTCGATGCAGTAGGTCTCATCGGTGTTCTCCACCAGCTGATGCACAGACAGCGTGGCATTGTAGGGCTCCACCACCGTGTCAGACACCTTGGGCGATGGCACCACGCTGAACGTATTCATGATCCTGTCTGGGAACTCCTCTCGGATCTTGCTGATGAGCAAGGTCCCCATGCCTGAGCCGGTGCCACCTCCGAGCGAGTGGGTGAGCTGGAAGCCCTGGAGACAGTCGCAGCTTTCTGCCTCTTTGCGCACCACGTCCAGGACTGCATCCACTAACTCTGCGCCCTCGGTATAGTGACCTTTGGCCCAGTTGTTGCCTGCTCCGGATTGACCTGGGGAACAGACAGGGTTGAATCCACAGGCATGGGGGAGGGGTGGACTCTCCAGCCCATCTGCACTGCACCCTAGTATCTGAATCATTAGACTAGAAGAATGATAAGAGTACCTGGCTAGGCTCCGTGGATATAACACACATGAGGCCTAGAGTTCCACCCTTGCCACAATAGAAGTCAGGTGTGTTGGCCTCCTTCTCACTGCAGTACTCAGGAGGTAGCAGCTGTAGGACCAGGCATTGAAGACTAGCTACAGTTACATAATGAGTTGGAGGCCAGCCTGTGCGACCTGAGATTCAGTAAATAGTAGTTAACAATGAAAAGACTGGAAGAGTAATGTTAGAGCAATATTGTTACTTTACTGATTTAATTTACTTTTGGGGACTGTGGTGGTTAGTTTTATTTTACTTCATTCATTCATTTATTATTTTAATAGCTTTGTTATTTTTATTAGCTGGATGTGGTAGTGTGTATCTTTAACCTCAGCACTGGGGAGGTAGAGCACAAGGCTAGACTTTTAAAGATTTATTTATTTATTTTATTTATGAGTACACTGTCACTGTCTTCGGACACACCAGAAGAGGGCATCCAATCTCATTACGGATGGTTGTGAGCCACCATGTGGTTGCTGGGATTTGAACTCAGGACCTCTGGAAGAGCAGTCAGTGCTCTTAACCGCTGAGCCATCTCTCCAGCCCCAAGGCTAGACTTTTAAAAAACAACCAACCTACCAACCAACCAACCAAGCAACCAACCAACCAACCAACCAACAAAAAAGCTCTATTTTTATGTGTGTGTGCATGCAGATAAGTATATGTGCCCCTACACACCAGAAGAGACTATTAGAGATACAGGGCGTGGCTGTGAGCCACCTGACATGGGTACTGGGACTCAAACTCAGGTCCTTTGGAAGAACAGGTAGTGTTCTTAACCACTGAGCTGTCTCTCCAGTGGTTTGTCTTAGGTGGATTTTATTTCTTTCTTTATATGGGTTATCGCTGTGTAGCCCTGGCTGTGTAGCCCTGGCTGTGTAGCCCTGGCTGTGTAGCCCTGGCTGTGTAGCACTCTGCCTGCAGAGTGCTAGGATGACAAGAGTGGAGTACCATGCTGGGCTCCAGGTTGTTTGTTCATTGCGCACAGGCTCTCATGAACCCTAGGCTGGTCTCTAACCCCATGTGTAGTTCAGGATAACCTTGAACTCCTGTTCCTCTTGATCCATGGAACACTGACATGATGATAGACATCAGGAAACTCAGTGTCTGTGGTGCTGGACATGGGACTCAGGCAAGTGCCCATGTTGCCTTGTCCCCTCCTGCCTCTGCCTTCATCTCTTCCTCTCACACCCTCTGCTCCAGCCACACAAGCCTCCTGGCTGTTCCTTCATCACCAGCCTCCAGATTTTTTTTTTTTTTTAGCCAAGACAAAAATCATACACATTTGTGGGGGACCACATTGTATTTTGATACAGGTCCATACTGTACAATGTTTGAATTAGGATAAAGATACCAACTACCTTAAACATACATCAATGTTTTATTTATCCTAAAGACATTTAAAAAATTTTCCCGCCGGGCGGTGGAGGCACAGGCCTTTAATCCCAGCACTTGGGAGGCAGAGGCAGGCGGATTTCTGAGTTCGAGGCCATCCTGGTCTACAGAGTGAGTTCTAGGACAGCCCAGGCCACACAGAGAAACCCTGTCTTGAAAAACGGAAAAAAAAAATTTCCCTCAGCCGCATGAGATTCTGTATATTGTTTTAGTCTGCAGTAACCCTACTGTGTAACAGCACAACTGTTACTATTATTACTGACAACAATCATTTACTATAAAACAATCAACTATTAAAATGTGATTAATTCTATAGTTATCTTTCAGTTTTTATTTTATTTAATTTTTGGGGGGCATGAGCATTTTTTTGTCTGTGTGTCTGTGCCCTTGGAGGTGTCAGGTGCTCTGGAGATGATGGTTGAACCACACCAGGATCCAAACAGGGTCCCCGCCAGAACGGAGTGCTGGCGACTGCTACGCCATCTCTCCAGCCCTGATTACCGTGTGATATAATAATTAAAGTTAATACTGTTTCAATTTTGCCATATCTTCATCCACTACAGAAAGCTAAGTAAAATTGTACCTCATCTAAGCTTTGAAAATCTCCTCTCCCTCCTCCTAGTACCCTGTCTATGCTCAGCCTCTTGTCTGTTCTCCCTGCAGTGGCCAGAGGGCACTGGTGACCTCAGTCGGGTCCCAAAGGCTCCTCTTTCACCTCTTACACCAGTTCCTGCTGGCCCTACAGCCCACAAGGAGGACTCCTGCTGCCCTGCTCCCTCCTGCCTGGTCGTCCACAAGGAGGACTCCTGCTGCCCTGCCCC